CTTTAGTGCTTTTCTATAGTATTAAGCCTCAAATGTCAAATATACATCGGATTGGTTTCTTCTTTAAATTATAAAAATATTAATGGTATTATAATGTTATACTAAAATTAAAACAATGGAAAACCCCTTAAGATAACATGTAGAAAGAAAAAAAGCATCTTAAGCATGCAGAATAACATAAGTGGACTTTGAACGATTACGTAATTGTGGCATCCATAATTGTAATCGATTAGAAATTCGATTAATTGTGCAGCCCTAGTAGGAAATTTACAAAATATCTTCATGGAACATGATCTTTACTTAATATCCTAATGATTTTTGGCATAAAAGAAAAATAGATAATTTTGACCCATACAATGTATTGTATATATACGCAGCACACACACATATATTATGTAAACAAAAACGTTTATTTTTGACACGATTAATCGCGATTAATCGTTTGAGAGTAGGGCTGGGCCCAAATTTTTTTCCCCGATTTTTAAATTAATCGTTTTTTTTTTTTATGACGTCGATTCGATATCGATTCTCAAAAGTTTCTCAAAAAAAAGATTCTCATTCCGCACATCTGATTACCAGAAAAATTAAGAACATTTTATAAGGCCCTATTAAGGACCCTATACAAAAAAAATTATAGGTTTAAAATACAGGCATTTGGTTCTTAATTTCTTTTTATTAATTCACCATTTGTAAACTGATGTTACTGTTCATTTTTTTTAGAAATATCAATAGCATTTGTATTAAAACTATATTCACTGAGTGTAATCAAAAAATCGAGAATCGAATCGAGAGCTTGCGAATCGAATCGGGACATCTGAATAGATACCCAGCCCTATTTGACAGCACTAATCCCTGCTAATAACCGCTCGTTTGCTAATATTAACGATGGCTTGTGTTTGCAGCCAGCCCACCTAAAGTACAGCCGCGCTACGATCTGGATCTAGACGCCAGCTACGCCAAGGTAAGAAACAACTTCCGGTCCGTTTAGTGAAATCAGAAGCACGGTGCTGCTCTTAGAGTCTCTTAATCTGAGTTTGGTCAGAAATATGGTTTATTTTAATCACTGCTGGTCGTGTTTCTGCTCAGACATTCGCAGGTGATGTTGGATATCTGTGGAAGACGTCCGATTCTTTGCTTCTGTATCAGGAGCTGGTGAGGAAAGGTGTCCGAGGCCTGATGTGAGTTCATGAATCAAACCAAACGAAGCGACTCGCGCTGATGAAGCGAACTGAATTTATTCACTATTGTCTGCTGCACAACGGAAACTTGTTTCATGATTGAAATTGAACTGGATTGAATCAAGATTAAATGAATTGTTCTGAATAATGGCACTATTGAACTGAATTGAATCATTTTGGATAATGACTCAGAGCTGTTTTTGCAGCTGCAATTAAATTTGTTTTATAATTGATGAATTTTACTACATTGATATTGAACTAAATGAAAATTGAACTGAGTTGATCTGAATAATGGCACTGAATTGAATCAACACTGAACTGAATCATGCTGGATAATGACTCTGAGGTGTTTTAAAGCTGCAATTACATTTATTTCATTATTGATGAATTTGACAGCATTGACACTGAACTGAATCAAAATTGAACTGAATTGATCCGAATAATGACACTATTATCTTCTGCGGAGCTGCTTTAAGCTGAAATTGAACTTGTCATAGTTGAAATTGAGTTGTTGAAGTGAATCAAAATTAACTTGAATTGAGCTGAACACTGTTGTCTTCTATAGAGCTGCTTTAAATTGAATTGGTTTCATAACTGATGGATTTGACATAATTAACCCTTATTGAATTGAACCGATTAAACATTGAACTGAATCATTTTGAATCATTGAACTGAATCAAAATTTAACTGAATTGGTCTGAACAATGACACTGTTGTCTTCTGTAGAGCTGCTTTAAATTGAATTGGTTTCATAATTGATGAATTTTGCATCAACACTTATTGAATTGAACTGATTAAACATTGAACTGAATAAAAATTGAACTAAATTGTTCTGAATAATGACACCATTGTCTTCTGTAGAGCTGATTTACAGCTGAAATTGAATTCCTTTTATAACTGATAGATTTTTCGACATTAATACTGTTACTGAAGTGATTGAACCTTGAACTGAATCATTCTGAAGAATGACTGTTGTCTTCCGTAGAGCTTCTATACAACTGACACCGACTCTGTTACTGAACTGAATCGAAACAAAATTTAACTGAATTGATCTGATCAGTGACTATTGTCTTCTGTAGAGCTGCTTTACCTCTGAAATTAATTTCATAAGTGAAGAATTTGCAGCATTAACACTGTTACTGAACTGATTGAAATGAATCATTCTGAATAATGACTCTATTGTTTTCTGTACAGCTTCTTTACAGCTTTTTTGCAGCCTTATCACTGTTATTTTCCTGTTTATTTGTGTGAAGTGGTCTGTAAGCGCTATATGAACGTTGTGTTTCAGTGAGCTGATCAGAGACGAGTACAGTGAGAAGGCGCACAAGAAGACGGAGGTGATTCACATGTGTAACTACTGCAGCCAGACGCTGGAGCGAACCGAGCAGCTGTGAGTGACGCATGTTTCAGACGGAGCTCTGAGCGAGATCTCGCCAGATCTTCATGAGCTCCGTGTGTGTGTGTGTGTGTGTGTGTGTGTGTGTGTGTGTGTGTGTGTGTGTGTGTGTGTTTCAGGTGTGAGGTTCTGATGCAGGGAAACCTCCTGTCGGCGGAGTGTGAGGAGATCCGGGACACGAGGAAGAAGGTGATGCGGGTGAGATGCTGATGATTCTCAATGTCTCATGAAAGTCTGGGCCTGGTTGCATGAAAGCCCTTAAAGGGTTAGTTCACCCAAAAATGAAAATTAGGCTGCGTTTTACTCACCCCTGAGGCATCCTAGTGTATATGACTTTCGTCTTTCAGACGAATCTTTTAATGTAGCTTGCGCTCACTGTTGTACACTGGAAGCAGCTCCGGGCGGATGACGTATGAGTTCAGCGCTGCGCAGCCTAATTTTCATTTTTGGGTGAACTAACCCTTTAAGATAAGAAATCCATTAGTTATAAGGTTAAGGGAAACTTGGGTTGCAAGAAAAAACCTAAGGGTCAACTTAAGGAACCATAAGGCTGCCACAGTGTTGCCAAATTGGGCTACTTTACCACTGTTGCCGCGGGTTGTTTTTCATGTACGTGGGTTGATGCAACCCCAATAACATGATATTTAGCCCCTGAAATGCGAATTTTACCGGGGGGATCCACCTTGAAACACAGCTGGGCTAGTTTTGGGCTAGTTTTGAGTAGCAATTGGGCGGGTTTTGTTGTGAAAACCTGGCAACCCTGGGCTTCCATTAAGTATTCCCCTTAATTATAAGTATTGCTACAAAGTCTTTAGTAACCATTTCACCTTGATAAATTTTTAAGGGACCAAAAGAGCTCCCTCAAGTCATCTTAAACTCAAACGCATTGGCTGATTTTAGGTTAATTGAAGAGGAGGAAGTATCAAGGCACGGTCTAATAATCGAAATAGCCTATTTTGATACGCAATTATTGAGAGAGTTTCAGTTTTACCGTCAGTAAATCCTTCATCTTACCACAGTCCAGTTTCATGTTTTTTTGTTTTCTGTGCTCTTGGTATTCTCCATTAGTATATATTAGTTTATAAAACGGATAGTTCCGGTGCTTGATTCTGATTGGCTGAGCCGTGTTCGAAGCTGTTGTAAATGACTCTACAAAGTAACATACACCTTTGTTTACGTTTGTGTGTTGCTCGGCAACCACTTTGTTGCAACCACAACTGTTTCTGAGGAGCTACATTGTTTGGTGGAAGAATACTGTTTTTATTAATATCATTACACTTTATTTGCTCTGTTTTATTTTGGTGAAACCTTGCTACGTGTATGGAATAACCGTTTTATAAAAGCAATAAGCCCCGTGAAGCTGTGGTTTACAGTGAATTTATAACAGCTCCGCGTCATGCCTAACAACGCCCCTTAGCTGTAATAAATTCACTGTAAACCACGGCTTCACGAGGCTTATTGCTTTAATAACTGTGGTTATTTCGTTATGTTCTGTTTATTGTGAGATGTAGTAACTATAGCAACCGCGGCACCCATTGCCGTATGTTGCCAGAAACTACAGTGAAACACTTCGTATGAACACTTAAGTAAGAGTGACAGTTAAGAAGTTTGTTGCAACGCTCTTAATGAAATCCCTTGCCTCAGGGAATTTTTTCCACTCAGGGATACCCTTAAGTCAAAATACTTAAAGTCCCCATGAAATCAAAATTAAAGTTCTTTGGGTGTTAGTATCAATATGTGGATGAGATTGTGGCTGGCATACCCTGTCAAATGCGGCTTTACGGAGCTCAGCGGCTCTGAACGGCTCTAGCCCAAGCTGTGATATAAACGAACGCTATTGGCTATTTTAAAAAGGGGCGGGGCTGCTTGATATGTCCCACCCTGTCTTCCGGTTTCAGTTAAAATGACGTCAACACAGAGTAACGCAGCGTGTTTCTAAGCATTTCAGGGGACCTTTAAGGACTTTCATGCAACCGTGAGTTCTTCATGAAAGCGTGTTCATCACGCCTGCTCTGTGTGCAGCTCTCCAGCTCTCTGGGCTCCATGGATCAAACGCTTCAGGACATCAGCAGCATGTTCCTGCCGGGAGGAAGTCTGACCGATACGTGGACGCAGCAAGTGGGAACGCACCCCGAGGACAGGAAGTGAGTGTCACTGCTTCAGCGTTCATTACCCTGGAGAACCAAACGTCTCATTTCCTCAAAACAAACGGGCAAAGCGCTGTTCATAACAATGCAAAATATCAGGTTCTTCTTAATCACATTTGTCTTGTTTTCCAGTACAAATATCTAAACTTCCTTAAATTACATTTACATTTATTCATTTAGCAGACGCTTTTATATTGAAGCAACTTAGAGAAAAAAAACATTTTCATTACTTGAAATAAAATAAACTTTAGCTGAAGGAAAATAAAAGCAGGATAAATTTACTGGAGAAGCAAAGTGACTTCAGATATTAAGTTTTTGTTTTCTGAATAATATATTAAAATTAAGCTTAAAACAAGAACAAACTTAATATTTTAAGTCATTTTGCTAATCTAGTAAATGTGTCTTGATTTAAGAATGTTTAGATATTTGTACTGGAGAACGAGACAAAAAAATATTGTTATTTTAGTATCATTGAGATATTATTATAGTTTTTGTTAATATTTTGTATTTTGTTATATATTTTAATTTTTTATAAAAAATGTTATATTTATATTATTATATATTTTATACATTTTTAAATATTTTTATATTTTATATGTTAATTTTTAAGTTTTACTAATTTTGTTGTGTGTTTTTATTAGTTTCTGTTGTTTTGAAATATGTCTATATAGTCTTTTATTTTTATTTCCGTTTTAGCTTTATTTATTTTAGACCATCAGGTTAAACTAAATGAAAATGAGAAAAGTTGCTTTGGAAACTAGCTGGGGAAAAAAAATTATATTTCATTTTATATTATTTCAGCTAACATTTATTTTGTTTCAAGTAATGAAAATATTTTTTTATGACTTCAGTTTTAGTTTTTGTTCACTATAATAGCCCTGACAAAAATACAGAGGAAGAACATTATTTTTTGCAGTGGACACATTTTAAGTGTGAACTTGAGTTTCTGATTGCTGCCTGTGTTTCTGTGTCTCTCGTCTAGTGTGGAGAAGATCAAGGTTCTGCTGGATGCCATCAGCAGCATCTACCAGCAGTTCAAGAAGGACAAGGCCGAGAGACGTGAGTCTGTGAGCTCCTGAGATCTCATCAGCGCTCGTTTGCTTTTTTATGTGTTTGACGTGTCTTATCTCCTCAGGTTTGCCTTATAATGAAGAACAAATCCACAAGTTTGACAAGTGAGTATCGTGTGTGTTCGCTGTAGCTGAAGAACTGAACGCATGTGACGCAGAATCATGATGACACGAATCTCTCTGCTTTCTGCAGGCAAAAGCTGGTTCTTCACGCCACCAAAGCGCGGGCGCTCTTCACAGACGAGTGCGCCATGAAATATCGCCTCTTCATCTCCAAGAGCGAGGAGTGGATGAAGTAAGAGGCTCTCGTTCAGCAGTCTAGAGCTCACCTGTGATCCAAACAGTCCAACTAGAAATTATTATTACAGTTATAAATGTTATTATTCAGTCATGGATCTATTTACTGATCATTGTTTTTCATTATATTGCTGTTTCAAGCTGCTTGAGTTCATGTGTTAAGGCACGTTCACACTGAAAAGACAACGATAATTATTAGCATCCACACCAACAGACAATAACTATAACGATAACTATATTAGCATCCACACCAATGGACAATAATGTTAACAATAACTATGATGATAATTATTATAGTGTCCACGTAAACAGACTATAGTATAAATAATAACTATATTTACCTTCACACCAAGAGGCGATAACTATAACGATAACTATATTAGCATCCACACCAACGGACAATAACTATAACGATAATACCAACGGACAATAATGATAAATATATTAGCATCCACACCAACAGACAATAACTATAACAATAACTATATTAGCATCCACACCAACGGACAGTAACTATAACGATAACTATATTAGCATCCACACCAACGGACAATAACTATAATGATAACTATATTAGCATCCACACCAACGGACAATAACTATAACGATAACTATATTAGCATCCACACCAACGGACAATAACTATAACGATAACTATATTAGCATCCACACCAACGGACAATAACTATAACGATAACTATATTTACCTTCAACAGGCGATAACTATAATGTTAAATATATTAGCGTCCACACAAACAAATGATAACTTTAACGATAACTATATTAGCATCCACACCAACGGACAATAACTATAACGATAACTATATTTACCTTCAACAGGCGATAACTATAATGTTAAATATATTAGCGTCCACACAAACAAATGATAACTTTAACGATAACTATATTAGCATCCACACCAACGGACAATAACTATAACGATAACACCAACGGACAATAACGATAACGATAACACCAACGGACAATAACGATAACTATATTAGCATCGATAACTATATTAGCATCCACACCAACGGACAATAACTATAACGATAACACCAATGGACAATAACGATAACTATATTAGCATCCACACCAACAGACAATAACTATAACGATAACACCAACGGACAATATCTATAAAGATAACACCAACGGACAATAAAGATAACGATAACACCAACGGACAATAACGATAACTATATTAGCATCCACACCAACGGACAATAACGATAACGATAACACCAACAGACAATAACGATAACACCAACGGACAATAACGATAACTATATTAGCATCCACACCAACAGACAATAACTATAACGATAACACCAACGGACAATATCTATAAAGATAACACCAACGGACAATAAATATAACGATAACTATATTAGCATCCACACCAACGGACAATAACTATAACGATAACTATATTAGCATCCACACCAACGGACAATAACTATAACGATAACTATATTAGCATCCACACCAACGGACAATAACTATAACGATAACTATATTAGCATCCACACCAACGGACAATAACTATAACGATAACACCAACGGACAATAACTATAACGATAACTATATTAGCATCCACACCAACGGACAATAACTATAACGATAACTATATTTACCTTCAACAGGCGATAACTATAATGTTAAATATATTAGCGTCCACACAAACAAATGATAACTTTAACGATAACTATATTAGCATCCACATCCGTTAACTTTAATGTTAAACATATAAGTGTCTACACAAACTAACAATAACTTTAATGATAACTATGTTAAGGTCCACACAAATGGACGGTAACTTCAATGTTACATATATTAGCGTCCACACAATTGGACAATAACTTTAATGATAACTATGTTAGCATCCACACAAATGGACATTAACTTTAATGTTAAATATAATAGCGTCCACACAAATGGACGATAACTTTTAACGATAACTAGCGTTCACACAAACGGACGATAGCTTTAACAATAATTGTATTAGCGTCCACACCAAAGGATGATAATTATAACCATAATTGTATTAGCGTCCACACCAAAGGATGATAATTATAACCATAATTGTATTAGCGTCCACTCCAACAGACAATGACTATAACAATAAACTTTTTGGCGTCCACGCAAATGTATAACTTAAACGATAACTAGATTAGTATCCACACAAACACATGATAACTTTACCGATAACTGCATTAGCATCCACACAAACGGACGTTAACTTTAACGTTAACTATATTAGCATCCATAGGCGCGTGAAATATAGTTCTTTTTATTATAATCGTGCTGCAGTTTTGTCATTTAAAGCAGGATAGATTCTGATTGGCTGTTAATGTTTTTATCGTTCATCAGCTGGACACAAATCTCTCTGAAAGCGATTCCAACAATATTGTTCTTCTGCATCGTTATAGTTGTGGTGTGAATTCACTATTCTTACAGAATTTGAACGATTATTAAAACTTTAAAGTGCCCCTATTATGGGTAATGAAAGGTTCATATTTTGGTTTTGGGAGTCCCCAACAACAGGTTGACATGCATGCAAGGTCAAAAAACACTTTCATTGTCTGATAATATGCATTTATTTTTTCCTTACTTGCTCAACGACTCCCAAACGGTTCGCTCAATGATTCATTTTTCCAAATCCCTCCTTTGCGTGATGCTAATCTGCAGTGATTGGTCCGATTGGTCTCATTTTCATTTCATCTCGCCTGTAATACCTGATAAAGCAGCGTTTGTGAGCGCAGTGCTGCTTTGTGTACAGCGTTACCGTGGAAACCTCTATTTTTACCGCTCCAAAAGCGACACTAGTGGCAAAGAATGAATTTGCATTTTCATTCAGACCAACA